CTGGAGAGATGAGTACAGAGAAGGCATGGTCCCTGTTCTGAGAGGACAGAGACTGCAGTGCCCGGTTGTCTACGATGGATCATCTCTGGGTTCCCCCTCATTCTCACACCCAGAACTTCTAGAAGGTTCAGCTCAGCCAGCCCAGCCAGGCCTCACACTGTGTTTCCCAAGGTCTGGTCATTCTGAACCATATCACAATATTTGCCATAGACACTTCCCACTTGTATTGTTGTGTAGTAAAGAATTTAACCTTGCCCAAAAAGATGTCATTGCCCTTGCTTCTGGGAGTAATGTCTAAGCACTTGGAATGTCATGCCTGATAGGAGTGTCTTTGCCTGGGGTCCTTGGACCAGTCAGATAGCAGCAATGTGACATAGGATGGGGGCTCTGAGCCATACCAACAATGTGATGTAGGGTGGCAGCTTTGGGTCATGCAGCTGGACTTCTGGAGGGGCTGGAAACTGAAATTAGCCATGTGGGCAGTTAACCATTTCTGCATGCTGGAGCCCCAATAAAGACTCTGGACACCAAGGCCCAATGAGCTTCTTCTCTGGCTGGCAATACTCCACACATATTGTCACACATTGCAGCTGGGTGAGCAAGGCTGTCCTGACTCCGTGGGGGGAGGACAATGGAAGCTCTATGTTCATACCTTCCTGAACTAGCCCTTTGTGCTGCTTCCCTTGGATGACTGAAATCTGTATCTTTTCCCTTTCCCATAACCATGCGTATAACAGCTTTCAGTGAGTTCTGTCTTTCTAGTGAATTATCAAAGCTGAGGGTGGTTTGGGGAACGCCCTGAACCTGCAAGTGTTGCAGAAATGAGGACAGTCTTGTGTGGACTGTACCCCCTAACTCTGCAGTTGGCTCAACTCTCACAACTATTATTTTCCAAATAATTTTCTTTAAATCATCTTGTTTTTCTTTCTACTTAAGTTTATTTTAAAAGGCGACTGCCCAAGGAAAAGCTTTAAGGATGTTAATCTTTTAGAGTCACACAGTGAGGTCTGAAAGAGGCAAATCCCCTTGATGCCTTTGAACTGAAAAGTGAGTCGAAGATGTTCTACACCAGTGAAATTACAGAATTGACAGAATGAAGTCTCTGAAGTCATAGCAGGTAGGTTAACACATTTCCCCATAACAACACCTAGTAACTTCTGCTTGAGATGAAGGATACATTCTATAGGAGATAACTATAGAAGTTATCTTAAAGTTAAGGTATCTCCAAGGAACTTCTTGAAGACAATTAGCCAGGCTATTTTCATGAAAATGGGAAAGTGAATAAGCATAAATCGAACAGGAAGGGACTTTCAAGGTAGTATTTTTTGTGTGTGTGTGAGGAAGACTAGTCCTGAGCTAACATCCAATGCCAGTCCTCCTCTTTTTGCTGAGGAAAATTGGCTCTGGGCTAACATCCGTGCCCATCTTCCTCTACTTTATATGGGATGCCACCACAGCATGGCTTGACAAGCGTTTGCGTCAGTGGGCGCCCAGGATCCGAACCTGCAAACCTCGGGCTGCAGAAGCGGATCACGCGCACTTAACCCCTGTGCCACTGGGCCAACCCCTCAAGGTAGTATTGATTATTTTTATTGTAATCGAAGAAAAATATACTTCATGCACTTCCCAGTTCTTTTTTTATTGACGTAAAACGTACACAACATAAAATTTACCATTTTAATCATTTTTAAGTGCACCGTCCAATGGCATTAAGTACATTCATATTGTTGTGCAACCAGCACCACCATCCATCTCCAGAACTTCTTCATCATCCCCAACTGAAACTCTGTACCCATTTAACAATAATCCCTGTTTCACCTCCGCCCAGCACCTGGCAACTACCCTTCTACTTTCTGTCTCTGATTTTGACTACTGTAGGTATGTAAAGGGAAACTCTTCTGTTTTTCTTCTCTACTCTATCTACCACAACACTACCCATAGAATACTTTACTTCTGACACCTCTGGTCACCAAATGTGTGTGGAGGGGGGCGGTTCACACATCAAGCAATTCTGTGACAAAGCTGAATGTCCTACACTTCAAAGCTGGGTGACCTACAATTCAATTCAGTCCTGACATTATCTACCTGGATATAGTGTCAGATCCCACAGGTTAAGGGCTCAGTCCCACAAGACTGCCTCTCCCATCCTCCAATTTCAGATGCCAAGTGAAGTCCATGTTGTTACCTGTGCTTCTAATGGACTAGTTATAAGTCAGAGGTTCCCACGACCCCCTCCTAATTAATTTGCTAGAGCCATTCACAGAACTCAGGAAAACAGTTTACTTATTAAATTATCAGTTTATTATAAAAGGATGTAACTCGGGAACAGCCAGATAGAAGAGATGCATAGGGCAATGTATAGGGGGAGGGGCGCAGAGCTTCCACGCCCTCTGCAAGCATGCCATCCTCCCAGCACCTCCATGTTTTCAGCAACCAGCAGCTCTCCAGACCCAGTCATTTAGGATTTTCATTATGTAGGTATGATTGATTAAATCATTGGCATTTGGTGATTAACTCAGCTTCCAGCCCCTCTCCCCTCCCAGGAGGTTGGGGAGTAGGACTGAAAGTTACAACCCCTCTCATCCCATGGTTGGTTCCTCTGGCAACCAGCCCCCATCCTTAGGGGCTTTCCAAAAGTTACCTCTGCATGAATTTGGGGACCTCTATGTTAGTCTCAGTCTATATTCCTCCAGTGTGTAGGGCCTTTGTTCTTTTCTGTGCAGTTCTGACCACTAGATGTGACCTCCGTGGTCGTAGGTACAAAATAGTGGTTCTGGGACACAAAATGCTTAACATCCTGGTGTCGAAGTTCCCTAGTGAAGTCAAGCCCTGGACTTTTCTTTGTCAGTCTCATAAATCAGGCAAACATGAGCTTTTATTTGTGGATGCACCAAATAAATAACCTAGTGCACAGATTTGCTCAGCCTGACCATTGAAAGACAGAGCTCACCTACATAAATTCTGAGGTCCAAAAAAACTGGTCTTCCAGGGCCCCAACCATGCTTTACCCTTTATGTCAGTCTGATCTGTTCTTTTTAGTCCAAGTGGATGATGTCATGTATAAAAAATATGCCACAAGCCCACATCTTGGCATTCCTTAGACTCAAAATGTGTCAACTTTGTATATTTTGTTTCTGTAGTATAGTAATATCCAACTTACTTCTCTAAGTCAAACACTTGGCAATGCAAATGTTTGGCTCAAAACCTGTGTGACTTTGGCCAAGTTACTCAACCTCTCTGACCTTCTCTCTGAGCCTCTTTACTTTCTTGTGTTATTTGAAGATTAAATGAGATAATGTATGTGAAACACAGTGTCTGGCTCAATGTACGGCTATTCATATTTTTATTTCGCCCCACAGAGGCTGCACTCTAGTTTGATTAGGTCTCCCAAATCTTGGCCACTTCGCGCCACCCCTTGCACCAATTCAATCATTTCCTCCCCCAGAGTCTACTGAGTGTCTTGTGCTGGACGCTGACTACTTAAGCAGGAATCAAGCCAGGTCCCTGCCATCGCTAAGCCCACAGCCAAGTGGGAAAGAGAAACTCCCAAACTGAGCAAACTGGCTGTAATCTAGGTATAAACCTGGTATTGTAAGGGCCAACGGGAGAGAACATCTAATTGTCTGAGCCTTGGTGGTGTGAGGGGCAGGGTGCAGGTGATACTGAGCAAGGGCTCCATCTGCTCACCATAAGATAAAAGGCCAGTAGAGAAAGAACTTTAATAAGCGATAAACTAGCAAATCGGAAGATGGTGGACTATCATCCTAAAAAACCCATCTTCAAGGGAACTGATTTGGAAATGACTTACATAAGGCAAATGGGGTTGGGCAGGGGGCTCAGGAGTATCGGGTGATGGATGACTACAGACTGTCAGGCACCTCTCCATAGCAGATCTGCTGAAGGCAACATTCCTGAGGAATCTAAGAAAACCTCAGTTACTTCTTTATCTGGGACAGAAGGAACAGTTTGGGCAGAGGACATAAATTTTCTGCTAACCAGTTCTTCTTTCTACGGATTACAGATTAGTTTGTCTACATGCAGTTCTAAGCGTTTCCCTAAAGCACACTATGAGAATAAGACGGGGACGGGAGCATGTGGCCTCGGGGGCTGAAGTTCTAACAGTCCTCTGAGCAGGGGCGACTGTCTCATATTTCTTACGAGTGTGAAGCTTACCAATCGGTCATTTTAGTTTCTCAATGCTCTCGCGTGATGCTTAGTCAGGAGGGAGAGGCTGTCAGCAAGTTCCTCTCTTATCAGCGGTCCTCCCACTGTTCTGCAAGGCAAGCTGAGACTTTGGTTATTTTGTTTTCCACGTTAACCTTGTGGATACAGCTTTATCCCAATCCAGGGAAATTTTAACTCCTTGTCCTCGGTTTCAGGGGGAGTCATTCACACAGCTGGCACTGCCCGCACCAAAGCCCGGGCACAGGACAGGGGGCGGGCTGTTGGTGCAGCCCCACGGGCCGGGCGGCTGTGGCGGAGGCGGCAGGACCCGGGGCTGAAGGCCTGGAAAGCTCGCCCCGAGATCGGGGTTCCTGCTATTGGCGAAAGAAGCCCCGCGGAGCTTGTTCCCAGGAGCGAGGCCTCGGCGGGCCAATCCCCTCGCAGGAGGGGTCCTGGGCGGTGCACCGCAAGAGCAGAGGAGGACCCCGCGGGCCAACGGGAAAGCCCCGGCCGTTGAGGGCGGAAGTAACCGCCGGCCGGGCCGGCGGAAGGACTCGCGGCGTCCGCAACCGCGGGAGGGGCCGGAAGCTCGCGGCCCCGGGGGCGGGCCCAGCTCTCGCAGGCAGCTGATTGGTCGGCCCCCGGCGGCGGCGACGGCGGCGGCGTGTGGAACTGTCGCCCCGGCCCGGTGAGTCCTGGGTTCGAGCCTGGGCCCCGCCAGCTCCGGGCTGTGACTCCCTGTGGCCGGCTCCGCACTCCCAGCCTCGCGAGGCGTCACCTGGAGGGGCAGAGCCAGGCCGGGGCCTCCCCTTGGGCGCACTTCCGCTCTTCTGTTCCAGGCGGTCGGGCCACGACCCCTCAGGGACTTTCTGTGGGGGAGGGGCGAATCTTGCAAGGCCTGGATGACCCCATCCCTAGAGAAAGGCAGAGCGGGGCTGTGGCGGGGAGGACGGCCGAGTGGACCAGGTACAGTCCCCGGGGCTGAAGCCCCTGGGAGACGCCGAGGAGGCCTCGATCCCGGGCTGAGTGATGCGAGGCAGGGGCTCCAGAGGAGGAGGCAGGGGCGCGCAAGGGCCTGGAGCGCGGGGGACGGGCCTGGGCGTGTCGGAAATTTGGGAGTTAGTAGAGGGGTGGATACACGTGGAGGATAAAACGACCGAGGCTGAGGCCAGAACCCTGGGAGACAGCACCATCCGAGGAATGGGTTGAAAGAACAGGAGCCAGCCATAAAGGAAGGTACAAGGAGCGCCCCTCTATCCAAGGTGTCAGTTTTAAGGATTTTGTGGTTCTTGGCGGAGCGGGAGCCCACACCTAGATAAAGCATGATAAGGCCTAATAAATGTATTTTAGATTTGGTCATTACTTAGGTAAGCAGAAGACATAAATAATTATTATTATTTTTTTGAGAAAGATTGGCCCTGAGCTAACATCTGTGCTAATCTTGCTCTATTTTGTATGTAGGGGGCTGCTACAGCATGGCTTGATAAGAAGTGCACAGGTCTGTGCCTGGGATCTGAACCTGGGAACCCTGAGCCACCAAAGCAGAGCATGGGAACTTAAGCACTATGCCACCGGCTGGCCCCAGAAAGAGTTTGTAAAAAATTTTGATTATGGAAGTGTTCAAACTTAAACAAAAGTACAGAAAATAGCATACCATCATGGATTCTAAGTACCCATCACCCAGCCCCAAGCACGAATGGCCACCCTGGTTGCTCTACAAATATGTTAAGATACACTTCAAATCCACACTGATAATATGTTAATCTTAAGAAAATAAAAATGTTACTTTCATGTTTAATGGGTATAGAGGTTCAGTTTTGTGAGATGAAAAGAGTTCTGGAAATTGGTTGCACAACAGTGTGAATATACTTACTACTGTACACTTAAAAATGGTTAAGGTAGGGGCCAGCCCGGTGGTGCAAGCAGTTAAGTGCCCGCGCTCTGCTGCAGAGGCCCGCAGTTCCCTGGCCCGGATCCTGGGTGCGCACTGACACACCGCTTGTTAAGCCATGCTGTGGCGGAGTCCCATATAAAGTGGAGGAAGATGGGCACCGATGTTAGCCTAGGGCCAGTCTTCCTCAGCAAAAAAGAGGAGGATTGGCATCCGATGTTAGCTCAGGGCTGGTCTTCCTCATAAGAAAAAGTTAAAAAAAAAAAAAAAAGGTTAAGGTAGTAAATTTTATGTTGTGAGTTTTTAACCACAATTTTTTTAATATATTTTTTTAAATTTTATTTATTTATTTTTTTCCCCCAAAGCCCCAGTAGATAATTGTATGTCATAGCTGCACTTCCTTCTAGTTGCTGTATGTGGAACACGGCCTCAGCAAGGCCGGAGAAGTGGTGCGTTGGTGCACGCCTGGGATCCGAACCCAGGCCGCCAGCAGCGGAGCGCGTGCACTTAACCACTAAGCCAAGGGGCTGGCCCTTTAACCACAATTTAAAAAACATTTTGTTTTGGGGCTGACCCCATGGCATAGTGGTTGAGTTCAGTGCTCTCTACTTCTGTGGCTTGGGTTCGCAGGTTCGGATCCTGGGTGCGGACCTACACCACTTGTCAGCCATGCTGAGTCACCGACTTACATTCGAAATAGAGGAAGATTGGCACAGATGCTAGCTCAAGGCTAATCTTCCTCATGCAAAAAAGAGGAAGATTGGCAACGGATGTTAGCTCAGGGCAAATGTTCCTCACAAAAATAGATATATAGGAAGATAAATCATTAAAAAAATACAATTAAAAACAACAGTTCCTTTTAAATTAAAAAAAAATTGAATGCTGCAAATTAAGAAAAAAATCTGACTTGAAGTGTAAAATGGAAAGTAACTCCTTGCCCAGTAGAGGCCCATAGAGTTGTATTTTTAACTGTGGAGGCTCTGAAATGAACTTGTTGGTTGTGGTACTCAAGAGCACTGGGACCTGGCCTAGGGTGGAGTTTAAGCACTGGTGGTGAACTTCTGGTTTACACTAGAACTGAAGGGTTGGGCCAGCCCAGCTGTGTGAGTCAGATTTCTCTCAAATGTTCCTGTTTTCTTACAGTGTGAGGCACACCTTTAACCCTTGAATAAGCTCCTGTGCCACCTCATACCTTCATTCATAGGACGGTGAGTAAAGTGTGAATTCACCTCTTTCTGTCTACTCCCATTCTTTAGGGTCCAGCTAAAGTCTGTCTCCAATATGACATCTACTCCTCGTCTCCCTAATGTACCACACGTCAGTTCTTCACACTCTTGGAGCAGCTGGTGTTAACTCGGAGGCAGCCTTCCACATTCTAGCTCTTTTCCAAGTGAGCCCTACATAGGTAGCCCTGAAACCTTCCTTCTGCCCACCCAAAACAAACAAAGTAAACAAACTATAAAACGAGAAGGTAACTGCCAGGTGTGGTTTTTGGCTCCTCTTGTCTTCCTCCAGGGGCCCCAGAACCAGTATTTCTCCTGGAGCTGAATTTTCTTAATATGAGTTGGCATTTATTAGAGAATTAAACAACCAACTAGATAAAACTCGCATCAGAAAGTTGTATTAGTTATTGAGTAATGGCTATTTAGAACTATTCAGGGAAAAATTAGATACTTGATCACATCACTAGATGTCGATGATGTTAAGAAGGAATTAATGACATGGCCCATGGGCCGGCCCCGTGGCTTGGTGGTTAAGTGTGCGCGCTCCGCTGCCGGCGGCCCGGCTTCGGATCCCGGGCGCGCACCGATGCACTGCTTCTCCGGCCATGCTGGGGCCGCGTCCCACATACAGCGGCTGGAGGGATGTGCAAATATGACATACAACTATCTACTGGGGCTTTGGGGGAAAAATAAATAAATAAAAATTATTTAAAAAAAAATAATGACATGGCCCTGGTGATGGATGACAAAGACTAAAAGTTAGATTCAGTCACGAGATGAGTTTGCTTCGTGATTGATGTTTAAGTTTATATCTATACACTGAGAGCTATCAGAATGATCATTATTGAACTATCTGCAGGAAATAACATTATTACTCATATGTAACTCTTTTACCCTTTAAGTTCTTTTTATCCCATGGAAACAGTTGTGACTTTGGATTAAGTGAGGTTTTTTAGGAATGTACTCATCATGTTACATCATAACTGCCTGTACACAGGAGGTGATATGAATGAATGAACCATTCTCTTATGTTTTCTTTTGTAGGGAAGATGGAAGAGCTGAGTCAAGCCCTGGCTAGTAGCTTTTCTGTGTCTCAAGATCTGAACAGCACAGCTGCCCCACACCCCCGCCTGTCCAAGTACAAGTCCAAGTACAGTTCCCTGGAGCAGAGTGAGCGCCGCCGCCGGTTATTGGAACTGCAGAAGTGGTGAGGGATGCTTTAACTCTTTGGCCTCTGTCTCCAGGCGGGAGCTGTGAACCTTTCAGGAGGCTCTGGGCTTGTCTCTACGGAACCCCCTTCAAAGTAGACCTTTTGTGGGTTGATCTTCTTGCCCTCGATGTTGGGAGGGGTAAATCCTGGCAGAGGTAGACATGCTTCACACCCAGAACTTAGGAAAAGATGAGGAAGTAGGGAGAGACTGAAGTTGGAAAGCAAAAGCTCGATTCTTTGTTTAACTTTTTCTTCCCCCCC